CATTTTTTATTATAAAAAAAAATGGTGTGGGATTATAATCATAACATGTACTAGCTGACTGATCAAGTCCGATCAAGTATTGTAAAATAACTTTAGTTGCGTAACATCAACGAATTTTTTGATAATCTGATTGGCTGATCTTGGAGTCAAATATTTGAATGCGATGTCGATACAAAAAAATTAAATTTTATCTTGGATCAAATACAATAATACACTTGCCCAAAATGAGTGCAATAGTCCCTTCACAAGTAAAAAATAAAATCAAGCGAGAAGAAATTCATGCTCGAAGAAAGCAAGAAAAAAACCGTCTTAAAATGGAAATGAGGCTAAAACGACAGAAAGAAGAAGCTCAAAGTCCTGAAAAAAAAGCGGCATGTATTTTAAACAGACCGCATTTTTCTCGTAATTGATCAAGTATTGAAAATATCTGATTATTAAATTAGGAGCGATTATCGAGAAATATTCCTAAAACACTTGAAAACACTCGAGAATTTGATGAAACGATTGTTGATCCAAATAATTCAGAAGTATGTGAAGACATAGAATCGGATGAATTTTCGGCTTATTTTCGTGAAGGTGTAGCTCCAAAAATCCTCATAACTACTAGTAAAAGGCCATCGAAGGTTGCATACGAGTTTACATCTGAATTAGTGGATGTGTTTCCAAACAGTCAATTTATGAAAAGAAATAGTAAATATTCAATTAAGCGAATCATCGAAGCTTGTTTGGATCGAGACTTCACTGATGTAATGATAATAAACGAAGACAGAAAAATTCCTAGTAAGGCTTTACTTATTAATTCTGATATATCATTTAGATGTATTCGTAAGTTTTGTCTGACTTCTTTATATGTCCTTTTTAAGATGCTGTCACTTTAGTTCATTTGCCTGAAGGTCCTACTGCATATTTTAAATTAACAAGCATTAAATTAAGCCGCGAAGTTGATGTATGATACTCACTAGCGTGTTCTATAATTTAAATGTCATTGAATCTTTCAAGTGCATGTTATATATACTTAAACAGTTTGCACTTGATAAAATCAGGGCCATGGAAGGTCATCATGTCATAAACCTGAATTAATTCTTAATAATTTTAATACACGGCTTGGTCATACTGTTGGTCGGTGGTTTCAAGCACTTTTTCCTCATGTCCCAGAGTTTCAAGGACGTCAGGTTGCAACTTTTCACAACCAACGCGATTTCATTTTTTTTCGACGCCACAGGTTTGTAAAAATGTAATAAACCGATATAAAACTTCTTTTTAAAATATTTATATATAAAATCCCATAGATATGTGTTTAAGAATAAAGAGAAAGCTGAATTACAAGAAATTGGTCCCAGATTTACACTCAAACTCAAGTGGTTACAAAAAGGTGTATTTGATAAATATGAAGAATATGAGTGGATATTCAAGGTTTGTAAATTTATATTCATATTAAGGCCATATAAAATTAATTGATTGTTTCTCATAACCCGGCCGGGTCAGCTTTTATAATCCAAAATTTTATAAATTACTCATGAATATTTCCGGATAAGCTTTTGAAAAAATTTTTATATGTTTTTTAATATTTTCCTAGATAAAAACATATAAATTAAAAATTAAGTCGGCCGGGCGGGTCACTTTAAAATTTAGATGTCATGAGAAGCAATTAATTAGCTTTATGTGGCCTAATAAAATAATTTGAAATATAACTAATTAATATTATCTGATTTTTTAGCCGAAACTAGAAACAAGCAGAAGGTGCTTCTTTTTATGATTGACAGGCCATGTAATATTTTACAAAATATAGTTTTTATATAAAATCGATGTCTAGTAAGGAAAACAGGCATCGTTAGATCTGGCGCCAAAATTAAAAGTAATTTATATTGGTTAATTAACATTATTGCTTGATTTATTAAAAATTTTAAATGAAATGTGGATTACAATACATAAGTAATAATCCTTATAAATTTGCACGGAGTGATTCTATATTGAAGTCATTAGGTTATGTAAATTGTGTATTAATTTCGAATTTCTTTGAGACATTTCTGAGTATTTTTACTAATATTAATAGCTAATACAGATATTAATAGCTAATACAGTTTAATGTCCCTATATAAAGAGTTTGTAGATGTTGACTTTGATGAACCACTCCGTGAGCGTCCGTTAGTCCTATAACGGGAATAATTCGGACAATCCTATAGTATTTATAATTGACAAACAAAATATATCGCATATTAATAGGGTTTAAGCAACGGTATTCAACGAAAATATTATACGTACACGCCCTCCATGATTATTACTAGAACAATTAAAGCAACTAACGTAGATAATTGGTCGCGGGATGACGCCCGCTTGTATCTTGTAACGTCTCCATGTTGCCTAATATTATGCATATATTAGGTTATTTTTCGATTTATGTAGACTACAAAAGTGATAATTGATAAAATATTACCTCATCGTTGTTAGGACGTGTCGTTCTCTCACACATACTTGAACTGTGATCCTCTGATTCGCACATTATGCATTTATCCGTACTTTGTGTTGCCTGTGAACAATAATAAAAAATATTGATGCTTAAGACTCGTATAGAATCAAAAGATGTAAGCTTTTTATTCGTCAAAAATCCAAGTACTTAAAACAGCTCAAATTGTCAATTTGTAATTGATTTCATTTCGACATTAAGTACTTGGGCTATCTGCTAGATGAAGTCCTGCGAAGCACCCTTGCGGTTAATAAAACATCCGCATTATCATCACCATCCAGAAGGATGTAATGTGGTTCAATGATAGAAGTAATTGTTAACTTACTGATCCAGTCACTTCTCTTGGTGGAGATTGAGCTTGGTTATTCTCCCCGTTATTTGGCTGTACTTCTGGAACTTTTTCTGCAGACTCCTGATCTTTGATCCCACTGGAAGTTATCTCTGGTTTTTCACTTGAATAATATAATTGCCCATAAATGATCGATGGATCTTTCAATAATTCTTCTTCACTAATAAGTTTAGTAAAAATATATTGCTTTAGTCTGAATGGAAGTTTTTATAAATATATCTGATTTGTACCTCTCCGATGTGTCTGTCTTCTCATTATATATCTCATCTTCATATCGTAAAACCTCATCTATGTAGTCGTCGTCGTCCATCCTTTGAAAAAGTATTTAATAACATTATTTGTACTTTATGTTTAAAAATAGGTGATGTCATTGTTAAGTGAGCACGATGAATAACCTAAATTTGGTAATCATTTTAGAGCACATCTACGTATCAGTATATATAGTAGAAAAGTTATTTTATTTGTACACTATCTGTTATGTACACTTGCATAGTCTATAACCTAAAGCTAGCCTTACCCTAACCTTAAACCGGGTTAATTTTTGTTCTATAATTTATAACTTAATTTTTCTAAATAAATATATAAATATATATATAAATATATATATATATATCATGTATAAACACTATGTATAAATTAATAAAATTCTCAAAAAAAAAAGTTTCTGGAATTATTAAATATAATTTACTGGTTTTTTTGAACTTTAATAGCTCCACAGATGCATTTGGGTTGATACACAGCAAAACCATGCTTTGAGACGAATTTCTTATTAGGAGATATCAATTTTGATGCAATATTTGATATATATAGTTACCAAAAACTGCGCACGATGCTAAATCATAATATGTTAATGTGCAATAAAAATTTTACCATGAATAAATCACACTTGGGAATATAACTCAGTAAAAATCTCAATTTTGCTTAAAAACTTTCAAAGCATGGTTTTGTTGTGTACCAACCCATTTTATGTCTAGTACTCAAAACGTGCAATTAGAAAGGTTAGGCTCAGGGACGAAAATACCTATTCAAATTATTATGTATCAAAAAGGTCACTTGAAACAATGGGATGCATACGTAATCGAGGTATTTTTTTAGCTCTGTAATTCATCAATTACCGTTGCGTGACAAACGACAAGTTTTATGAATATTAATATATGAATATATATGATAATCGGCCATTTATTATTTACTTTTGATATGTATTTTTCTAACGAATAAGTAAACCAGAATATACACTTGTTTCATTATCCTTAACACTACTTCTAGATCTCTCATTTTTGCTTTGACTTTGAAAAACTCTCCAAAATTTCAGATTCTCATCACTCGCAGCCGTAGCCACTACCTGCCCATCAGGACTAATGGCTGAATGCAAAACACGAGTATCATGAGCTTGAATGTCGATGATTTTTCGACATTTTGGATAAGACCAAATAGACATATGATGTTCTGGAAATCCGTGTGTAGACAAGAGTTCTTGATATTCTTTTGACCAAATTATTGAAGTAACTTGAGATCCAGTATCAATTGATTTAAGACGGGACGCTGAACTTGTGTTCCAGAAATGAATCTGACGGTCAAACGAACCTCCACCTGTAGCAAGGAGGTTGTTTTTCCACGGACACCATGCAACAGCCTTAACACAAACGTATTAATTAGCATTAAAGAAAAAAAATATATATATATATATTATTGGTCAGTTACCTTAACTGCTGCAAGATGGTTATTTTTTGTAATCTTTGGTATACTTGATCTCGCATCCCATATATTTACGCGATTATCGTTACCTCCACTTGCTAATTGTTCTCCGTCATAACTCCATTTCAGTCCACAAACTTCACTCGCATGATCAAGTAGCTCGGCGATTTTATGTTGTGCAACCCTAGTATCATGATGCCAGATACTACCATCTTTACAACCAGAAGAAACAAGATATTTGTTCCAAGTTAGAACACCAACACGAGCAGTATGCCCTGACATTGATCGAACCTTTTGTTCTCTCAAAATGTCCCATATTTGAGTGTCACCATCACTTGTTCCTACAGCCAAGTATTCACCATCGTGAGACCAAGACAAACTAGAAATATAATCATTAGCTTCCGTTTGAGCAATAGTTCTCACATCTCCAGTATCAGCGTTCCAGACGTATACATTCTGATCAAGTCCAATGGCCAGCATGTTCTTGACGTTCCAATCTAATAGATTTAAATAATAATCATCTATCATACCCGGTGCATCAAGGATGCGTTCGGGGACAGTAGCTATTCGTCTTTTCAATTGAATTGATGTAGTAAATTTCTTTGAACGTTGACTATATGTCTGACTTAACTCATCTTTTCCATTTGGTGGTGCACTAAATTGCAAAATTCGTCTTTCAAATGCAATACCACAAGCCTCCGCCAATTTCTCTTGATATTCTAGGTCTGCACTATCCATATATTGTTCTTTCCCTGATTCCCTGTGCGTAGTATTGAAATGATTTGATAGATCACCCATAATATCACGAGTTGGAATAAATCGATCACACTATATATATTTACGAAATAACAGTTTAAAAAATGAACTTTTTTTTCATAATTCATTAATAATGCATATCTACTCAAATGTACAAACCTGAGGTCTGACCTTTTTTACTTTAGAAGGAGTATTACAAACGCTTATCCAGTCGCCTGCAATTACATCCAATCTTAAGGCTTCCTTTTTAGGAGAAGACCTTGGAGTTTTTTTTTTACACGACTTGAATCTTCTAAGTAAAGTACTATTTTGAAGTGGTGAGATTGGTGAACTTGGTGAAGAGGCTACAGACTTGGATGACTTATTAGTGCGCGCAGTAGTAGGTGTCGTCAGACGTGACTGTGTCGGCGTGCTCAAACGTGTATGTGGCGTACGTTTTCGAATAGGAGTAGTAGGCTGTCTAGAAGGTGTTGAAGGAAAGTATGTGGTCGCCAGTTTGACAATATCTTATTCGCATTAACAAGTTTGATGAGAAAAGACTTTAGACTTTAGATGATTATTTGGTGGCGAGAGCATGCTAGAAATTAAACTAGAAATTTTTTTACGTGTAAATAAAAACTAAGTTGTTACACGAATATTTACTCGGTCCAATGATCGAACACGAGAAGATAATCTTATCTGATATAATAACTTTTGATTGGTCAATCGCTTAAAGTTGTTTTGATCTTTAACGTTAACTAATAATAACCGGTAGATTCAGAGCGTTATAAATTTTTTGCACTACAGTAGTAATACTTACCCGCATTTCTCTGACATGTGTATTCCTCTTTGAACTGTACCCTGCAACAGCGGCCAAAATTTCAAGGGAGCGGATAAGAACATGCTTTATTACGTTTTTCCTGGGGACATAAGCATATCAAGATCACGGGGTATTTTTATTTTTATTATATGAGTGCGTGAGAACCAATCATAAATGATTTTCACTCTCACGACTGATATATATATACCCATCATGAACTATCGTTGAATTATAACTTAAATCGGAAAAATAATTAAGATTGATTTTTGGATTTTTATTTACTGTATTTTTAAGCAAATCAAATTGTTTTTTCAAAAAATTGTTTCAAAATTTTGATTAAAATTATAAAGCCTATTTACAGTGTTGTCACTGGAACCCACTGCTAATCTAAACGTGACTATTGGCCAATCAAATTAGTTAGTTGGAGACTAGTTATGTTTCCGAGCTTCCGAAGCTACTCAATGCAATATATTCAGTTTACTTTCCAACTCATCTTTTGATACTTTATCATAATGATTCTTGTTCGTATCTCATTACGATAATATAATCGAATACCAAAAACATTGTAAAAAAAAAGGATTCTCATATCCGATTTCACAATAATTCTTTAATTCGTTAACAAAGTCTAACATTATCGCACGATCTATGCCGGATTATCTGAGTCACTCTGGTTATTAGAAATGACCCTGTTTGTGACCCGGTAATATTCGTGTAAATGGGTAGGTACCCGGAGCTTAAATTTTATGCCGATTTAATCTCTGCTCACTATCCTCGGTGATTGATTCGAATCGACCAATCAGAAGCCACTTGAAGTCACTGGAACTTCTATTCCAGTGATAAAAATCTTGGTCCAGTGACATTCGATCACTGGAACCTATTATGCTTCCAATCCATATTCAAATTTGTTTTATGTTCTCAATGCTAAAAGTTTTTTAATATTTTTATATAAAAAATTAAAATCTTTTTAATGTTATAAAAATTATTATATTTTCAACAATTGTGTAATATTATAAAAAATATATACTGTAAATATAAATTTTGATTAAATATATACATATATATATACTGTACTATATACAGTATAGTAAAATAGTTATTTTAAATTAGTTTCAGGTTTAATAAATAATATACTATATTAATAAAATTATTAAACCATATAAAAAAAAATTTAATACAAAAAAATATAAAAAAAAATTATCTTACCGGTACTGTTTCTACGTAAAAACTTTTTGTATACACAATTTTGACAATTTCTGTTTGTATACGTACTATATTAGTGTATAAAACACAAATACATACTGTATAATTCAAAATTTTGCTTGTACTGTACATAAAACAATTCATCTAAAATTTCAGTATAAACTACTTTTTACCCAACTCTTACCCTAATCTATTTTTTTCTTTAAATTTTGCATTATATCGATCTACAAACTATACCCGTGTTTTTATACACTATATACGTATATAGTGTAAAATTTTCTATATATCTAAAATTAAGTCTAAGCCAAAAGATTATCCATTTATAAAAACCAATCAAAAAACTTGCATATTATTTTTATTAATCGGCAAATTCATGGGGAAGATCGACAAATCGCTACTCGTATTATTTCCACGTCACATCTGATCTTATCCTCTGATTGGTCGGATCTGAATGTTGTCACATGCCAAAAATCAGAGATGCAATCTTAACCAATCATAATTAAAATCTAATGCGGGGCAGCTAGATAATTTTTTTTTTTTTTTTTACGATTCTTTACGGTCCATTTTTACCAATCTATAAAGTAACAATGCTAAAGAATGTTGTGCGCACTACTTCACCTTTGGTCACTACACTAGCACGAAGGGCGGTGCCCGTTGTATGTGTCTTTAAACGGAGGTTAAATTATTTACATTACTTGTTTGAAGAATTGTTAGAAAAGAATTAAAAAAATTGAGTAAATTGGATAAATGTTAACGAGTTGTTTTATGTGAAACAATAGGAAAAATTTCAGTAATTATAAATGTCAATTAAGATGATGAGCATTTTTAAATATGAACTATATATAGGATAATTAGGATAATTTAAGATGTTAAGAACGATTGTTATATGCTGAATCGGAATCGGAATATAATTCAAACAATTTCGCACTAACAAGGTTGAAAATAATAATAGATTCGCGCCAACAATGTTGTATCAAATTTTGCCGCTCGAAGATATGCGACTGCTAAACCCGGTATGTATTAAAACACAGGCGTACACAACATTACGAAAGGAGGATCAGTCGATTAACGCACTGCAATGATTTCAATTGGAAAAATAACAAATGGATTGATATAATCTATTTATTCTATGTTAATTAATAAGCCACATCTGAAGTTTCCTCTATCCTGGAACAACGCATCCTTGGTGTCACTGCTAACGTTGAAGTCCAAGAGACTGGACGTGTCTTGTCAATCGGGGACGGTATCGCTCGTGTTTATGGACTTAAAAATTGTCAAGCCGAAGAAATGGTGGAATTCTCTAGTGGTCTTAAGGCATGCTTTTAAAAATCAAATAATTTACACCGATTCGCGGAATTGAATCGTAATTAGCGGGCCCAAATTTACTAAAACATAATTTGAATCTAATGTGGTCTAAAATTGCTTTTTTAGAGCAATATCTTTAAGCAAGACATTGGCGTAATAATGATTTATAAATATTTAATTAATAATTATTAGTAAATTTGGGTTGTTATGACTCAATTCCATAGAAAAATTGGTGGATATTAAATATTCATTTTCTTTAAATATGAAAGCGTTGATTGTTTCATAGAATGGTTCACTGAATCATGTAGGGGATGGCACTCAACTTAGAACCCGACAATGTAGGTATTGTCGTGTTCGGTAACGACAGATTAATCAAAGAAGGTGACATTGTCAAACGTACAGGACAAATCGTAGATGTACCGGTTGGACCTGGCCTATTAGGTCGTGTAGTTGATGCTCTTGGTAATCCTATTGATGGCAAAGGGCCAATCAAAGCAGAAGAACGACGACGTGTTCAAGTGAAAGCTCCTGGTATTTTGCCTCGTCGCTCTGTTCACGAACCTATGCAGACTGGCATTAAATCAGTCGACGCTATGGTGCCAATTGGTCGTGGTCAGCGTGAATTAATTATTGGTGACCGTCAGACCGGCAAAACTGCAGTTGCACTTGATACTATTTTAAACCAAAGAAGATGGAATGATGGTAGTGATGAAAGTAAAAAACTATACTGTGTGTATGTCGCCATTGGCCAAAAACGTTCAACTGTAGCTCAATTGGTTAAAACTCTCGAAGAGAACGGTAAAGTTACCCTTCATCTTTATATACTTATGATCTTTATCTACTACGCTAACATTTAAGAGGATGATATTCTTGTAGACGCATTAAAGTACTCCGTTATTGTCGCTGCTACAGCTTCTGAGGCAGCACCCCTCCAATATTTGGCGCCGTTTTCCGGCTGTGCTATTGGTGAATGGTTCAGAGATAACGGCAAACATTCTTTAATTGTTTATGACGACTTGTCTAAACAAGCCGTTGCTTACCGTCAAATGTCTTTGTTGCTTCGTCGTCCTCCGGGTCGTGAAGCTTATCCCGGTGATGTATTTTACCTTCACTCTCGATTACTTGAGCGTGCTGCCAAATTGAATAAGGATTTTGGTGCCGGGTCTATGACAGCATTGCCAATTATTGAAACTCAAGGTGGTGATGTGTCTGCTTATATTCCCACCAATGTCATTTCCATCACTGACGGGCAAATTTTCTTGGAAGCCGAGTTGTTCTTCAAAGGGTATGTATGATAAGAATTTGACGTATATTATAAATCACACATTTTCCTTAAATTCCCAATAAACTATTTTAAGCGTGCGACCCGCCATCAACGTTGGTATATCTGTGAGTATTTCCATATGCAGATTATCATATAGTCTACCCTCGTTAATATCAATCTAAGCCATAAGATGAATTTTTACAAATTTTATATATTAAATTCCCTCATATATATCAACTTTAATATAATCCCTTGTTAATATCATTATCAACATGAATTTAAACCAATTCAATTGGGTTGATATAAACGAGGGTAGACTGTATTATTATTATTATTATTATTATTTTATCATTAAGTAACCGAAACTTAATTTCATATAAATCAGGTAAGCCGTGTAGGCAGTGCTGCCCAAACAAAAGCTATGAAACAAGTTGCCGGATCTCTTAAACTTTACTTGGCTCAATATCGTGAAGTTGCAGCCGTATGTTTCATTCTTTTATTCCCATCCATATAATTCTCATGTACTTAATGCCTACTAAAAAAACGGGCTGTAAGACATGAAACATTAAGTGGATAGCAATTTATTTTGATTTAGGTGCCTAAAGTAACATCTCTTCTCTATTCTAGTTTGCACAATTTGGTTCTGATTTAGATGCTTCAACACGTTTCTTATTGAACCGCGGCGAACGGTTGACTGAACTTTTAAAGGTTAATTATTAGTCCAAAATATTATTATTATTATTATTATTATTAATCTGAAAATAGAAGTCTTGATTATGTTGTTGATATATATATTTTTGACTATTTTTTTACAGCAACCTCAATACAAACCCATGTCTACAGAAAACCAAGTACCATTAATATTTGCAGGTGTTCACGGATTTTTGGACAAGATAGATAGTAAACGAGTGCAAGAATTTGAAGCCACGTTCCTCCCATACATGGCGTCAAACCACTCTGACATATTGGATACAATCAATAAGGAAGGCGTAATTTCTGATGCTACAGACAAAAAATTACGCGAAGCCTTGACCGAATTTTTAAAATCTTTTTAATAGAAATTTTTAGAACCTAGTGGTTGGACCCGTCTGAAAAATCATGACCCGGGTAACCCGGCGGGTAAACCCGCGGGTCACCCGGGTGGATAAATGATAAAATAACATAAAATTCTATCTTCTATAATTATAATATGAAATTAATAAAATATTTGATGAATTGCACAAGAACTATACTGGAACTGATTCATAACATGTCAATATAATATAATACATTTCTAACTCTTTTTAAACAACTCAAGCGCCTAGTTACATTACCTAATTTTTCATATCAGATATTTTTCTCTTTCTGTAACAATTATCATCTCATGAATATCATTATATGAAAGAATTTTAATAATTTAAAACTCAATTATAATCTATGAATACTATTTAAAAAAATTGATATGTTAATGCTCGATTAGCAGAAATGTATTTCCGTAGTAAATCCAAAAATGAGACAAACCAAGAAGCTGCTCGATACGTAAGTATCGAAGCAGCTTTGTCTCGAATCATCACGAGACCAACATGTGATATCTCCAAATATGTTCGGTCTAATGGTAAGTATGAAGTAGGGTGTCCAGGATTATGCGATGCGATAGGGTCAATTATGCGATGCGATTGGGGTCAATTATACGATGGATGCGAAATAATTATAAAATTATGCGAAATATTTAAATAGAGGATGCGATTTATTTATACATAATTTACTCTTATCCTTCGGGAATTTTCGTTTGTTTACTAAAAAATTTACCTCCATGCTCGTAATTTAGGTTCATTCATTTTCTACATCGGAACTTTTCAGAATTTATTCCTCATCCAAATAACACACTCCAAGTATTCACATCAACCAATCATATTCGAGACATGTGATATGGATGCGTTTTTTTGCGATGCATCCGTGGATGCAGAAATTTGTTAAATTATGCGCATATTATGCATTCGCATTCGCATAATCCTGGACACTCTAGTATGAAGTAATCCTTACGTGAAATAAGGTAATGGGAAAGTTTGAATAATTAGTTGATTTAAACCAAAATTATAAAACATTTAAACCTAATAATAGCAGAAATAACAAAATTTAAATTAAGAAACTATCCTCTGTGATCTAATTAAAAATACTCTTCCTAACCCCAACCTAGCCCCAAACTAGAGGCCTGCATTGGGTCCCAAAGCCCGGCCCGATGTGCGGGCCTGGGTGGGCCTAAAAAAAATTTTTATAATTGTGGGCTGGGCTGGGCCAAAATTTTGAAAAAAATTTATATTAAAAATTTGCAGGCCGGGCTAAAATGGGCTGGATTTGACAAAAAATTTTTAATTGTGGGCGGGCCCGGGTCAGCAAAAAATTTGTAACCCTAATTGCGGGCTGGGCCTGGGCCTTAAAATTAGGAATTTGCAGGCCTCTACCCCAAACTATAATATTGAATTCTCAGTAAAAATTACAGAAAAAAACAATTTTTGTAGGTGCATTACTTAAAAAGTTAAGCAATGTTGATCTCAATGTTAACCTAAAAAAACCAAAAGAATGCAAAGAAAGCATTACCAAAATGATGAAAAGACTATTAAAAAAATGATAAAAGAGCCACAAAGAAGTAATAAAAGAATACCAAAAAAATGACAAAAAATCCTAAAAAAACAACAAAAGAAAATATTGATCTAAAAAAAAAAAATATGAAAAAGTATTAAAAAGAACGAACTACCAAAAGAATAACCAAAAAAACCACTAAAAGAATGACAAAAGAGCTACAAAGAAGTAACAAATAAGCATTAAAAAACTAATTGAAAAAAGAACAAGAAATAAATACTAAAAAAAAAATAATAATAATAATAATACAGGGGTTGGGATCCCGCGACCTAGTGGTCTAGGCATCCAACCCTCACAAGCGGGTTTCAGATTCAAGTCCTAGTGGATATGGTTTCTTACGAATACTTGAATATACTTACACGTGTGAAGTCCAAGTGAATATATATTTGGAATAGGAATTTCCAGAAAGAGACCTATTTGTAGAGAGATGGCACTATGTGTAACAAGCAATATTACAGAAGATTCTACTACACAAAGGTTGCGCATGTAAATCCTCGATTGGCATAGATAGCACCAACAACTCTAAGGCAGCACTGGAATCTTGATTGGGAGAACAACTGAGCAGGTAGTTAGAATTGGAGTAGTGAGAAAAGTGGTGAAATGCAATATGATCTGTAATAAAAAATTGGCCTTATCAATTATAGAACACCTCTGGCACAACTACTTATCTGATGAGGAAAAGAACGAACTTCTATAGAGAGTTGGCTAAAACTTGGAATACGTATAACAAACTCGCAAAATGGCTTGGAGGCACCGGGCTGGTAGTGTAGCAATACACGAAAGAGAGGGAGAACACCAATACAGAAACACCAAACAATTAAAATGGAAATGATACTAAACGAAAGTCCCAATTAGGTCTTACTTCTAAACGCCTCATAATCTAAAACATTGGGGCATGGAAACACCAAATATATCTGGGGAGTACTCAGAACAACTTGGAAGATCTGTATTACGAAAAACACCTTTGGAAGTAATATTGTTATGATCATTCTCATACTCTCAATAACAACACCAATACACAGGAGTACCTGTTATCAAGAATTGGCAAGGCATATGATACACATACGACGTTAACTGGACTATAACTCTGTTGGACAGCCTTTAGCGCTACCTCATCTGCAAAACAATATGTTGTTGAGTGTAAAAAGCCCTACAATATATTAATACATGATACGAATGCTATGTGGGTAGTAGGACAAAATACTTGAAATAGGAAGGCAAAGTGGTCTGACCAATTTGGAAGCAATCTTTATGGTTATGAGGCCTCCTACAAGATACCAAAAGAGGGAGTTGCTTGTAGTAAAGTACAAGAGATGCGGTGAATATAGAAAGGAGTAATGTGTACAAATTAGGATAAAGTAGTTAAATCCAGATAATACATAAGTGGGATATAGAATACTCTGGTAGGTTTAGGTTGCAGATAGTAGTCAAGATCTGTCTGAGCCATAATATACTTAATAATTAGTATATAAAAATAATTGTATCACATAATATATACAACAAAAATATATACTTAATAAAAAAGTCATGAGATATGACCTCATCTTAATACCAAAAAAAAAAAAACTAAAAAATAATACAAAAAAAATTAATTACTAGGATTTTACAAGTAGATCCATTACTTCTTACCTGGGTTGACATAACTACAACCCAATACCCAACCTATCCATAGATGACCCAAGTGATGCCTATTTGGATCCAACTACTATATATATATTATATATTATATATACTTAAAAAACATTGAATTGTTATACACTCTCCTGACAAAAATCACCAGATTTCTATAATCACAAAAATCTAACCTAATTTAGAGATGATCGTAGCCACATATTAACCCAATTTTTTTTATATATGAATTGTTCTTGTATAATAATGAAAGTTGTTTACTATCCCTTAATTGGTAGAGATTTGCAGACAAATTTGCCTGCATAATTACTATAAATATGTCTCTAATCTACTTTTT